ATTTTTATCTAGTGGACCAGCGAAATCTAAACTAATTTTTTTCGTTCTGTTTTGTAAGTTCCGGTAGTTTCTGCTTGTCTACCGATACCAAAAGGACTTTTAAGTTCTTACCGGCTTTTAGACCTTGAGTGTAATTTTTTCCGTGGAAGTAGATTTCTCTAGACAGATGCGGCCACCAATTGTTTTCTGCCAATGCCTTCATACCGAACAGTCCGGGATGAGTTATGTTTAGCTAACTCATAAATGGCCATCTTAGAGTTGCGGGAACGTTTAACATGTTATCGTTAAGTAGTAATCCTTCTCTCAAGTGTATGTCTCTTCGGTAGGTTCCTAAATAAGCTCCAAACTTATCCAGTGGCGTCCCGTTTTCCACTGCAGTTTTTATATCTTTTAAAGTTTTATCCTCATTCTTCATAAGTTGAAATAGTTTGTTGGAGCAATGATCTGCAAATGATAGTAGGAAAGATAGTAATTTCAGGTCCCCTTTGTATTTAGAAAGTAAGTATTGTCAATTTGAGACATGCTATCATTATCGAATTTAATAGAAACTGCTTGGATATCTGCAATGGCTGATAAATTTTCAATAGAAGTTGAATGAAAGAATGCACTTAAGTCAGCCTTACTTTTTGGGTTTAGGTCGCCCTCGGAGAGTAAGTTTAGTAGGAAGGTATAAGTAGAAAAAAATTGGCTTTTTCTGAAAGTATTAATCATAACAATGATTTTTACAGGGTCTAGCGGAATAAAACTTTTTGTGCAAGACTCTGGGCGCAAGTGATTTGTATTGCAAATTCTAATTGTTTCAGTGACGTATTTCACAATATTCCCTTAGAATGACCGTTGGATGATAATAATCTTTCGTTATTTCCGACCATTGTATTTATTTTATCCAAATTTGATAGCGTCCACTTTATTAGTTAACGACTTGTTGTTCTTTTTAAAATTCTTTTTGAAAAAAAATTTTTTACATGTAAATTGTCTGTTATCTTGTTAATTGTTGCAACGGCGAATTGGGAGGGCTTTTCCACAAAGGGACCTCAAAGGGAGTGATGATGGGAGGGATTTTCCACAAGCGAATCTCGATAAAAGATCGGTAAATCCCAGTTCCTTTCCTTGTATATGTCTAATTTTGAAATTCAAAAGTAAAAGTCCGTTTAACCCCTTTTCAATCTGCTATGCATATCTTTGTTACCGTGATTGGCATTTGATGCAGACAAAAGGGCCTTATGGTCGGTCACGATTTCAAACTCGGAACCGTATACGTAGTTCTTAAAGTGTTTTGTTGCCCAAACGACTCCCAACATTTCAAAATCATTGGTTGAACATTTGATTTCATGAGTTGTTGAAAATCTCGTAGTGAAGGCAATAGTTATCCACGCTTCATCGTCCCCTTTTTCCAGAGTAAAACCTAATCCGCTGCCGGTTGCGTCTGTTTTCAGTCTTGAAGGTCTTTTAATATCGAGGGTGTTATTTTCGATAATGTTGACAATTTGTGCTCGGTGAGAGTCGTTCCAATGGTAGGTTGATTTCTTGTTTAAAAGTGGTCTTAAGGGAGCGCACAGGGTAGATAAATTTGGTACGAGTTTCATGTACTGATTGATTAATCCGCAAAACGATCTTAGTTTTGAAATGTTTTTTGGTTTCTGAAGGTTTTTTTTATTAAATCCGCTTTTCCAACCAATGATTTTACTCCGGTATTCAAAATTTTGAAGCCCAACTATTCGATATTTTTTTGGAAAATTGCACATTTTCCTCATTTGACTGCTAAGTTCTTATTTTTCAAGATGTTCAAAGTTTTCAATAAGATATCTTAGTGTTCTTTCAGAGAGCCTTTTGAGGCAATTAAGATATCGTCAATATAACAATATATAAAAAGTATATTCCTCAAAAGGGAATCCGTTACTCGTTGAAATTCGTTTGGCATATCTCCAAAACCATAAAATCCGGTTAAGAAGCGGTAAAATCCAGTGGTTTTTCCTCACACAATAATAAATTACTTTGTTTGCTTGTGTTGTCGCATAGATGTAGTTGACTATATGCCTTTCGCACATCCAAGCTATTAAACCACACCTCCTCCATTTTTTTTTGGTAGTTTTAGCGCAATTTTGTCAATCAATTCATGCATATTCGGCATTTGATATTCATTTGGTCGTTGAGCAATTTTGAATCGAGATCTAAATTTATTGCACTGTCTTTTTTTGCGTGATAACTATTGTGCTTATAAAACAATGTTCGTAAGTTTTCCAGTTTGATGATGTGCTCTTCTTTTTCCATTTTTTGCAAAACTGTATTTACATTTTCTAACAAATGGAGAAGTACTCTTCTACCCTTGGCTTAGATTGGTTTATAAGGAGAATGAAAATGTGTAATTTTCCTATCCGATGGAATCTTTCCAACTCTTGTAAAAAGGCCTTTAAATTGTTTGTACAAGTTTAGAATTGTATTCGTATGATTGTTTGACCTACATATATCTGGGAGTGAGACGCTGTTGACTGGTTGGAGACACTGCTTTTGTGCCATTTCTTTGCCGATTCTTGGCAAATTTTCATTACCTTGTATGTTCCTCTCATGTCCCGACGTGATGAAAAATGGGTTTTCCTTAATAATGCGTCCGTTGGTTCGAACTGGGACCACGATCTTTCCATTGATGTTGATAGTATCGTTGGTAAACCCACAATAAAGTGCTCATGTTTTCTTATCGACAGGAGATATTTTCAACAAAGGATTTTTTAATTTTAATACGTGGAGGACATTTTGTTTCAAGATACTAACCGGGCTGGCAGAGTGCACTGGTATATATTCAAGTTCTCAATTGCTCTCATTATCACTAGATCCCTCTTTTGGTTAGTCATTTATAACTCAACAAACGTTTTCTTCTTTTAGCTCGATTGTGATTCCGACGGGAAATATTGACAATTCTGATTATTCACATTTTCATCTACACTATTTACAGTCGGTTTTTTAGCTTTTGATTTAAAGAGTCTTCCAAAATGTCCCCTGAATTTACAAAAAAATACAAAAGAGGTTCTTCGCTGGGCAAACGTTCAAATGTTCTTTGGTAGAGGCGTTTCCACAAATCTGACACGAATTTGTTTTCTCTATGTTCAGGCTTGCTTCTCTTTTTTTAGGATTGAAACGCCTGTACATCTTGCCGTTTTACTGGAGTTGTTGTTGGCCCTCTTCAAGTTGGTTAACTTTGGGTGGTTAAAATATCCTTTTTCATCGATCGTTGCCTGATTTAAAGCATCCACGAGATTTAAAGTGTCTGACAGGAACTTACGTCAGAAATCGCAACTTTTCAATTTGAAGATAAAACATCGCGAATCCGCTCTTGTTTGGCATTTAATTCGATTTCGAAGGTTTTAGCCACTTCAGATAGTGCTCCCCAGAACTGTTCATAAGACTCTCTGTCTGTTTGTTTTCGGCTCAGTAGTTTGTACCGCCTGAAGGTTTTGTTCGCTGGCTTTACAAATGCTGCTTCCAGGAGATTGAAAAAACTTTTGAAGGAGACTGATAATATTTTCACTCTACGGTGCTTCTACGAAAAGATTTTTTTTCCTTCAGAGCCATGGGCTAGGTATTAAATTGATCTTAGTGTTTTATTCGCCACGAATCTTCTCATGCCTCCGAATTTCTCCTCCATGATTCTTCAATCCTCAGCGTTCTCCTACACTTTCATTATTTCTTTATTTCTGGCCTTCCTGGCTTTCCTCTGAGTTTCAGTTTCTGAATTTTGGGCGCCTTCTAAAATTGGGACCTTGGTTTCCGACTCCACTGGATTTTTCAGATTATCAATGTCAATATTCTCTTTGACTGTTATTCCCAAGTGGAATTGCTCTATCCAGTTACACCATTGGGTGTGTGGTTCAATGGTGTGAATGGTCAAAAGGCGGGAATTACCTGCAGGTTGAAATCAGATGACTGCACCATAATGAGAAGTGTGCAAATACCACTGGTTGATTAAATTAAATAAGCAAATGGTAAAAATAATGAAATAAAAGACGTTTGATTTAAAATTGCTTTTCTCTATTTTTAACGATGGACTTCGAACAAACGTGGCAGGCAGGTACTTAATTAAGAAGACAAGGTCAAGATTAATATGAAATAAAAGCACAACCACAACACTTTTTTCACTTTTGTTTTTGCGGATGAATAGTTCAAGATTCCTTTTGCGGTTGAATAGATTTTTTGATAGGAGTTGAATAATTGTTATTTTTGATTCAAAATTCGAGTTAACAATTGAAAAACCTTCCCTCCACAAACTATGTAAAAGTGAAATTGATATATTTGGTATCTAGTGAGGTAATATTTCGACCAAATAGTTTGCCTCGGCAGGGTTTTTAAGGGATGCTATATTGTATGGAATCCCTGAAAATATGTTCCGTTTTTTTTTCCATTTCTTTTCGCTCAATTTTTTTTCTGCTTCAGGGTTGCCAAAGGCTTTCTGCCAACCAACCCGTGAACTGTTACAAAACATCTTCGACGCCAAAACACACTAAAATATAAGAAGTGCGCCCCGCCTTTTCAAATTTTTTTGTCAAAATCTTCAAATAACTTCGGTTAACCGTCATTTTTGAAAAATTCGCCCGCTGCTAAAAATTTGTCAAAAGAATTTCCTTATTGTGTTTTAGGAAGCCACTAGAAAGTCAACTTGCTCTACCTCCAACTTTTCGACAACATTGTTTGGCTATCCGCCAATCCCCCAACCTCCTCAAGCACATCCCAGATCCACCTCTGAAAATTGCAAGAGATACTTTTCCTCAATTGTTTTGGTGGGAACAGCAATCATCAATCGATATGATCGAAACATGTAATACATGTTTTCTCGGTCAAATAGATCAACTTATCAAGCTTTTTCGGCCAGATGAATCAAGTTATCATGTAAAAAATCCAGCTCGGTTAGGGTTTTTGAACTCATAAATAAGTCACGAAAAATGATCTATTTATCCATGACATAATCCAACGTATACATGAGTCAAACGATATCAATACATTCGATTGATTCAGCAGTCTTCCTTTTTGACCGCAACCTTGTGGGACATTTGGTTAGGCCTAGTTGACCCCCTGTTTGAAGAGGGAGTAGGTTCACGGTCCCATTTATCCCCAGTCGCAATGTGGGGTCTAACACAACCCTCGTACATTGATCGATCGGTTATAATGTTGGTATGATTTGCAATGCTCTCGCATTTCACAATGGCCCCAGCATTGGCGAGTGAGTGAAGTCCGAAGTTGTCGTCTTTGAACCAGTCTGTCTCTTCCATCGGATCCACTGAGTCCACACATCCGTCTGGGTAGAATCCGAAATGAGAAGACTCCCATGGGTTCACCACCCTATCATTAGGAGAGCCGACCATTACGAGTTTCTGACAAAAAAAAATCATGTTCGTTCTTTGTTTGTTGATGATCGGTAAAATAACCCTTACAGAAAAGTTGTAAAACTGTGTTACAGAACCTGGGCTAATGTCGAGGCTGGGTATCAAGTGCAAGAGATGAACCATACCATTTATTCTCTTTTGGAATTGCTTTTCATCGCTGTAGCTTGCTGATGCAAATCAGACATGCATGCTTACTTTTAAATTGCTGAAATTTTCCTTGAGCTTTTGACCTTCTTCAGTGAAATTTTGGTTGTTCATCCGGTTGAAGTATGTATCCAGGGTCTTCTGGTGGGCCCAGGTGAGTGGGTTCCGCCAGTAGGCGCAGGGCGCCAACGTCTCATGCAGGTTGTCTGCTTTCAGTTCGGGCAAACCAGCAACTGCATTAAACAAGACAGCTGACTTTGAATGCTCCAATTCTTACTGTGAAAGCTGCAGCTATCATAGAAATGTTGGATCATTTTTTTTGCAAAAAAACTTCTTTTAAATTTTTTGTCTTTTTTTGAGCGTTTTGTTTTATATGATTTGATGTCATTAAGTTAAATAGTTACCAATAATATTGATGTGCAAGCGGCATAGTGATAAAAACAATGACTCAACTGTTGAGGTCGAGGGTGATCTGCCCTGAACAGAGAAGATCAAAGAAGTTGACCATGCCTCCCAAATTAGTCAGCAATTGCTCTGTCTTCTCCACGCCCATTATCAGGTACAACAGAGACTTGAACTCTTCCTCAACACCCCCACCTAAGAAAATACCTTATTGGTTGTAGTTAGAAAGGAGTCTACAGTTTAAACTGAAACTCGTATTTTGTGTATTGTAAATTTATAATTAGAAAAAAAAAACATAGACAAAAACATACAATTGGTTGTGTCTAGGCTGCAATAAATACATTATCGGCCCATCAGTTGTTGTTTTTTGAAGTTTCTTCTATAGGGCTTTTTTTAAGACTAGAAAAACCGAAATACAGACTAATATTTCCTGACCGATGTTAATTTCAGGACTCGCCGTGGAAGCAAAGCACCCATTTTTCCGTTGTGAATGTTTTTGTTTTTTAAACCAAACTATGCCCTAAAAGAGAAAAAACGAAACAGGTTACATCTCTCAGAGTTGTGGTTAGTCTTTTTTGACGACAATTCAACATTTATCAACTACAAAACTAACATTACCAGGCCAATAAACTGTGCATTTTGTGCATTGTAAGCGGATTCCGCAACAGGGACGCTCCCTTTGTTGTTCTTTAGTCCTTTCCTTCTCTTTGATCGTTCTGACAAAAATTTAACATGTTTAAAGTTTTGTCTCTGGAATCCAGGAACAGACAGACACAAAATTATTTTCGTTATCTCAAGGTTCATAAACCTAATTCTTTTTGATCGCAAAAACTCGATTTAATTTTTAGTCGTCGCCTGACAATCTCATTTTTTTTTCATTGTACTAAAAACTCCAATTACTTTTTTTAAGTTGGGAGTAATTTTCAGTATCTCAACTCAAATAAATAACGCAAAATTAATTTTAATATCAAAGGTTTTCATCTTAAAAAAATCAAGACTGTTGCTATCAGTTGAAAACCATGAATTTTTAGATATCTCTCTAATGTCTACAATTTAGTTCTGATAATAATTACACAAACCGAAATCTTAAAATGCTGAGTTAGATTACTCCTTTTCTCCTTTGGATTATGAACATCTCTCACCCTTTGTGCTATGTATAACACTAAAAATTGCTCTTCGCATCCAGCAACAAATCAACAGGACCAAAAATGTGCTCTACTTTTGATATTTTCACACAAGAAGAAGCTAAACATACGGTTCTTTTTTGCGTGAGACCAATTTTTGTCTATAAAAATTTCGTATAAAAAGGACAAACATAAATCTGTCCAAAAAAGGACTCGACTTTCAAGCCATGAACAGTTCAAAATAGATTTTTTAAGCCTTGCATATCATGTTATTTTTTTGTTAAATATCTTGTCAAAGATCAAACATTACATGAAAAACTCCAAATTCAGTCTGTATATAAAATTATTGCCACGTAACTTTTTCTTTCTTTTTGAGAAAAAAGCAAGTTTTTTCAGATAAAATAAAAACATAAAGCGTAACTATTAATTGTTTTTGTTTATTTCAAGAGGTTCTGTATACAATTGAAACCAAGTAGGAAACGCTAGACTAACATTCTTAAAGGAGAAACAAATAGTGGTAGCATTTTCTTGTAATTTTCAAGATGCATGAAATGTTTGAATTGCAAAATGAAATCTATATGATTAACCTTTTTGTCGACCCTGGAATGTTTTCAAAGCAAGTTTATTTTGGGTGCTAGCACGGTCAAAAATTTGGCGAACTTGCTAATGCTTAGACCTCTAGAAAAAGACAAAAACAAATTGCTGCTAAACTATTGTTTATTTTTGTCAATTGCGATCCAAAGAAGAAGAAAACCACCTACATCACGAATCTTCCAAACATCGGAACAAAAAAAAATGACAGAACATTTGTCGTGGGACATTTTTTTTTCTCCAGACCCATTTCGACTTTTAAACTTAAAAAAATCAAGTGAAAACTACTCTATAAACCTTCAAAATTAGTCAAAAAACTCAGCGCTTCCCCTTGTTATGAGTAGTGTGGTGTTGTTTCGACTTTTGAAGAAAGTGCGGAATGATTTTGCCTGGGTGATTTTTTTTATTCAGTATATTTTCCACTTTTCGAAAGATGTTGTTTTTCTGAGCTCAATTTCAGAGAATGCAAAAAGTTCACCTTTGATCAATTTTTGCAAGTTATGGGGGTTTAAAGATTGCCATTTTGTCCAATTAGGAACAAATAACGCGCGATATATTTCGTGTTATCAACGCATAAGCAATGATTTAATCTGGTTTACAAATTGTTCCAAGTTCAATTGAGGCATGGCACTTGATGTAATTTTTTTATCATTTATTTGTGTATTTTATTAACCTGTACTTTACTTAGCGTTTGGAGGATGATTTTCAAAAAATCTCTAAAAGATTTTTAAATGTGAAAAAAATTCCATAATTCTTCAAGAGGCAGTCAAAACATTCAGGGCGTTACTGACTATTTAACTAAGCACTTTTGGCTGTATTTTTTAGGCCATCAAGAAGACATTGTTTTTCTGAGCTCAAATTTAGAAAAAAAATTACACGTGTGAAAAATGTATTTGTTTTTCTGGGGTTTGAAAACCGCTAGTTTAGCTATTTAAGGGTAACTAGAGCGACATATATTGCGTTCTTATAACATGCGTAAACGGTGGATTTAAGCATTCCAAGTTGAATTGAGGCATTTAATTTGGTTGTATTAATAGACTACAAGGCGCTAAATACATCGTTTTGTAATTTTATATTATTGTGCGGGCCGGTAAATTGAAACGCTTTTTGTTCTGATAGCTTTCAAGCATTTTTTTTAAAATTGCCTTTAAGGTGCAGCCGGAACATTCAAGTATTTGCTCAGTCTTGCTGTTCCTCATTTTAAGGTTGAATGATTCCTGATCCAAACAGCATTTCTGCTATCTGCTAAGGAATCAATATAATGGAAGATGCCACACGATAAATATCCTAGTTTGGCTAAAAAGGATTTTTTGAAATTGTGTAATTTTACAAAAAAGCGCGGATCAAATAACTTTTCGCTTCAGCTAACATGAAATAATTGGGGAGGACGTAATCGCTGAAGCTAAAAATTCTCATTTTTCTTCTTTATCATTCAAATTTGAAGTTCCTTTACAAAAACTCCAGTATCAGCGGAAAAATTGCCAAAGAGACTTTTGCCTATATTGCTGAAAAACGCGCCATCTTCGCTGACTTTGTTTTTATCGCAGCATCGCATAAGCTCAGTATACACAAAAAAATATCTTTTTTAAAAACAAAAAACGCCGTTTGATTTTTTGGCCATGGATTATTGTTGTTCCAATCACTTATCAGCCACTGTAAAACAAATAAAAAGTATGAAAATTTTTGTTACATTTTTTTTCTTGAATGATTTTAATTTTTGATTATTTGAAACTGCGAACAACTCAAGAAACCTTAGTTGTTCACTAAGTGTATGTGTTGTACTTAAACGGTTTATTTTGAATAATTTTTATTGAAATAAATTGTTTTTTTTTCTGTTATATTTCTGCTTAAAGTATCTTTATTGTTCCGAATGCGGAAGAAAGCAAAAAACTTATGTCAAAAATTTAAGCTAACACCTCACTTTTCAAATGATAATTGTAATTGGACTATTTTTCTATAGTTGCGTCACAATATATAACAACTCTCCTTTTATTGTTCCGACTTTCGTAACGAATGTAACGGTTAAATTGTGCGCGGGATGTTTTTTCTCTTCAGACAAATTTCGACTTCTTAGCAAGCCAAATTTGACGGAATTTTTTTCTATCATTCGAAAGGTAATGTTGTAAAAAGCTTAAATTTGGAAATTGATTTTACCAGTGATCTTTTTTTCGTTAAGTTATGGGGATTTGAAATTGCCCAAATTGGGACAATAAACGCGCAATATGTTTAATCGCCAGCAGCTTGGTTAAAGAAAGCCGTTTTGGTTGAAGAAAGTTTATGTGACATAATTGCTTCGTTACTAAGAGCGAAATCTATCACTTTGTTCTTTCAATGGCTTTAGTAGTATTTTATCGTGTCCCGGATCCTAAGGGGGGTAGGTATTTATTAAGTGGGGGGAGCTCAAGTAAAGCAAAACCCCAGGCAATGGGTTCTTAATTTTTTGGAGGACCTTCATCCTAGAATTTTGAAAGCGAAAGAAATCTTCCACCCAAAAAGCAGAAATTCCACTACTTAGTATCTCGCTAAGCTCAGCTTAACAACAAGGGACACGATACATAACTCTTTCTAATTCAAACTTTTGGGATCCTTATTTTTGGTTCTTGTATGTTTTATGAATGTTTTTAATTAATATAATTGTTTCGATCAAATGAACTTTAGACCTAGTTGAAAATTGAAAGTGAAAGGGAATTGATTTTATGGTATATAAAAAAAATTGCCGGAGATTTTGGCTGCGTAGCTTAACTGTTGGCAGCAGTAATTTATTTCCTAAACTTGAAATATATGTTATGGTGAAAAGGCAGTAAATTGAAATCATTCTACAAATGGGGCTGCCATTTTCGGGCAAAAGATACCACATGATAAATTTTTCAACTTTGAAAAAAAAAGAAATTAGAGGTAACTTGGTGTACGGAACATATTGATAAAGAACATTTACATTCAAGAGTGTGTTTTCAACTACGGGAAAAAATCTGTAATGATCGCTACGTAGTGTTTCTCGAGAGGGCAAGGGAACTTTCAAAGAAAGAACACGAGTAAATTTTTAAAGAACAGTTTTATTTGAATGAGCTTCAACAAACCACTTGGATCGTTTCTATAAAATAAAATTATGGTTTTGTGAGCAATCCAATGTTTGCTAAATATGAAAAAGTATTCGACTATTTGTTTGATCTTAACTCAATAAGGGTTGACAATGACTTGGAGAGAAAAATCCGTCTATGTTTCAACAAGCTATCAAAATTTAAAAAACGTCCGGTGGTTTTTTGATTATTTACCACCAATATCTCCATGAATCTAAATGGTATCTGCAAGGTCATTTTACTTTCCACTGACTTGAAATTCAGCAGGTTTGACAGATGTTGAAAAAAAAACAAAGAAAGTGCAAAAAAGTAGAGAAACTCCTTTTGATTTAAAAACGATTCAAGAAATTTACACGTCTTTGAAGCAAATTTATCCTGATGATTCTAACTAACGAAACTGTTT